CCCCATGCCGTGGCGGATACGAGCTTTCTTTTTCCATATCAGGGGAGAGAGTGTGTGGAACTTCTCCGCGCTTGCTGCATCCAACGTACAGGGATGGATGGACAAGACTGCGACGAGTAAACGGTAACAGTCGAGTGAGACTTTATGAAATCCCAAGGGTGCCTTATCCGCCGCTGCCTGCCCGTGGCTCTACGCCATGTCCCGCCATCCCATCCCCATGTCACTCACGCCCGTAATAATTACTTCGTACAGTGGATTGTGCAAGTCTGGACCCCGTTGTTCCTGCGGCCCGTCCAATTATCCCACCCCCCTCACGAGGCTTGAGAGCCCCGGTCATAAAGATCTGATCAAAACATCCCAACCGACTTTGGACTTTGGATTGGCTGGGGCCCTTTTTTTTTCTTCCATCCCCCTGCTAGAACATGGAGTCTTCGACTCGAGCAAGAAAATGGGATTTATTACTACGGAGTAAGGTACGTACAGTACAGCACATACAAACAGTTCGTAGCTCTTCAGCCCCGCTTTCTCTCCGGCTCGAGTCTGGGTACGAACAGGTACGAACAAGAGGATCCAAACGAAAATACCTATAGGAGGTTGAAACCAGGTAGCGACAATAGATACGAAGTACGAAGAAAGGAGGACGAGAGGAGGGGAAGAGAAGAATGGGCAAGGAAAAATAGATCGGAGGAAATCCATCTAACTTGTCCTCTCTCCTTCGGACCAAACCTATCCGTACTCAGTGCTGGTATTGATCCCGCTCGTACTCCCGCGTACTGTATCTGTACTAGGACCCTACATTCCCGACAACCACTTCTGTATTCCGTACCCCTCTGCGCTTCCTCAGTCCTGAGCCTGGCATGCCTATTCTTGACTTGACCTGCGCAGCACATCACGGATTCCAACCCATTTATCCTCCTCCGTTGCCATTGCCATCTCCCCACACAATACATAGTAAAAGTCACAAGAAATAGAGGGTGAAAAGAAGAGAAAAGACATGAAAGGAATGGTGCCCCAATGAGTAGGGGAAGCGAAAAGAATAAATTAAAAGAGAAAAGGGTGTGAAAAAGGGGAAAAGGGGAAAAGGAAAAAAGGAAAAAAAGGAAAAAAAGAAAGAAAGGAAAGAAAAGGCTACATACAAAGGCAGTTGTATCCCGGGTATCCCTTACAATGCTCGTCGTTCGTCATTCCGCGCTTGTTGTTCCAATCTTCCCAACCCAAAGTAATCCCATTCCCTCTCGCATGCCCAGAACTCCTCCAGGGGCTTTCTTTTCCGGTCCGTTTCCGGTCCGTTTCAGGGGGGTGGGGGTTCATTCTTTGTCAGATATGTCTTTCTTTCATTCATTCAATTTTTTTTTGGTCCTTTTTCGTTTTGATTCTGGTCCTCCTTCTCGTGGGGAGTTTTCCCCAACCCAAGCCTCTGGGTCTTCGTTCCACCGTGTATGTTCTTGGCTTTTGCTTTTGTGTTCCCAAACCCGTTTCCATGTTCCATGTCCAATCGGACCCCTGTTGCGCCTTGAACTTCCTAGTCCTACAAATGTCAAAAGACCCCCTTTTCGGTGCCGCGACGTGAAAACGCTTCTCGTCCCTCGTCATCACACGATGTTAGGAATGTCGATTCCGGGCTGGGGCGTCAATGTCGGGTAGTACCCCCCGGATGCCGTTTTGGCATCGAAGGGCCCACATCTTTGACTTGAGGCTAGAGGGCCTTGGTGGAACAAGCTGGGAAGAAGGCCGTTTTCCGGATCTTTTCTGGCCCGGTCCTGGGTCTGGTCGACCCCCGTGGCCATGTGAGACACCACGCCTTCCTGCCCCGACCGATGGTGATGGCCGTTGGTGAACATGTCGACGCCACCTCTCCCGTCTTGGTGACTGCTTTCGTATATCGAACCCGGGAAATATTGGTACCCTTTGGCCGTGTCGATATGCTTGGCCTCGTCCGGGGGGATCGAGAGCTCCAGGGGCAGGTCGTGGTGATGCCGGGCCCCCCCATAATGCATTCCGCCCCTAGAATCAAAGCCTGCCCCGTAGCCGCCGCCGAGCATGGTATTCCCCGACGCATAGTCAGAGCTCATCAGCTGATTCCCCCCATATCCGCCCATGCTACCAGCCGAGCCACCGGGTCCGCTGCTCGTGCTGCCTCGCCTTTCGTTTTGATAATGGCCTGGAGATCGGCCGCGGACAATCATTTTGGCCGACTTGCGATGTGCAATTCTAACGTAGCTGTCTGGCGACTGGTTGCCCACGTCGGCCCAGAGCTCCACTAACAAATGGTAGTACTGCTGGGCAGCTCGTCTCTTCCCGTTGTTCGCAGTGGCTTGTTTAAACTGGATTCTCTCGAACGTGTGCTCCGTCTGGTAAGCGTCCCCGGGTAGCGCCGTACCGGAATAAGGGTCTCCGGCATAGCCCATGCGAGGGGCGCCTCCTAGTCCGCTGGGATCGTGACCGTAGAGGCCAAGGGAGTGATGGGTGGTTTGGGGCGTCTTCGGGAGGAGCCGAACCTTTTCGGGTTTGGCCGTCGGCCCTTTGTCTCTCTTGGGTGTGTGCTGAACCAGGTCGATCGTTTGATCACTGTCGGCAACTACGGCCGAGATGCACATGGCAAAGCCCACGACGGTGTAAGACTGCTGGGCCCCGTTCTGAGTATACTGCATCGGCATCGGCTGGTTGGGGTAATACGGCGTGAGGCTGTAAGAGCAGACGCAGGAGAAATAGTTTCGCCTGTAGCAGGTCCATTCGCCCTCAGCTTGGAAGAAGCCTTTATCAATGTTCCCCTGAATGTCTATCTTAATCGGCACGCCTCCGGGACTCCCATCGAGGTAGACGAGAGTCCCCAGTGTGGTGATGGCACCCAGCGGAGGCACACTGCCCGGCGCCTTCGGGGAGTACTGGCTAGGATCCATTCTGGCTGTGTTGGTGAAGTTGGTGATCGGGCTCGTACTAGGGGAGAGAGGGTGGCGTCGGAGGGATGACGGGAAGGAGGGGGACCTCGGGTGTTGTTCAGATACCCTCCTGAATAATGGGGTCGAAGTAGAGTACTGCTCTCGGGCGCTGATCTGGGCTCCAGGATGAGGCAGTGCCGTGGAGCGCATGCCCGTCGAGGATGTGTTACTGAGAAAAGTGGTGAGCCCTTGCTTGACGTTCCCTGTCACCCGAGAGTCTGTCGCAGTGCTCGAGTGCCGCTTGAGAAGGGGGCGGGTGCAACCTACTTTGAGCCCAGTCGCGTCAGGTTCGGAAAGATGTGGCTGGGGGGATAATATGAACTCCCGTCTGGGGAGTACGTTGTGGTGGCGGTCGGGTTTATAACGGGAGGTGGGAATAAACTTATCAATCCGGAGGTCGACTGGGTAGGTGCGTCTAATGCTAGAGAGGGACCATTGGTATTATGGTCGTATCTAAGTATACCCCCGTCAGTCGGAATACGGCCGGGCAACCCCGTTGAAGTAGAAAAAGGGGGAAAGGAGAAAGAGAAAGAGGGTCAAGGCAGAACGTAGCGCGAAAAGAAGACCAAAGACAAGATAGATGCTGGCACGACAACGGGGGCGACGGCCGCCGTCTACTGCACCGCAGACTCCATACGGAACACAGTGTCAGTGTCACCCACCGGTCGTACTGCCAGCACTGGCGTTGCACGAGGACAGAGGACACAGGATCGGGAGCTGCACGCCCACCAGCTTGCAGCACTGAGCGGGGAACGAAGCGCTCAGAATTTAGGTAGCACGTCTGGCGCCAAAGCAGCTACCCATGAGTTCGCATGTCTGCCGCTGGCCGAGCCAGGGTTCGAAGTGCGTTCGTCTCGTCGTCCGATGTCAGACCAGGACACCGGCCAGGGATGCGTCGAGCGAGGTAAGAGCAAGAGCAGGTCAGGTAAGGCTAGAGCAGAACAAAGCAAAGTGCAAAATGGGGAAAGGCAGTGGCTAGACCGTTGGAGAACGAGGAAGAAGGATAAGATAGACGGACAGAGGCAGACCCGACGGGCAGGCAAGTAAGCAGGTAAGGTAGAGGAAGAAGACGGAGCGATAAAGCGAGAGAGGGCAGGAGCAGAAATATTGCAACGCAGGCGGAGAAAAGCAAGGGCAGGCAGGCAAGCAAGCACACATCGGGCGTGCAAATGTGCTGAAGGGATAGGTCGCCCTGGTTATTTTAATCGCCCGGTACCCTCGGAAAGGGGGCTGAAGCCAATGAGAGCTTGTACACGTACCGCATCTCATGGCCTTGAGATGGTAGCTCGATGTAGTCCAGCCCGGGTGCCGGTGAAGATTCAAAGTCCTGCTCACACCGGGGTTCATGTCAGATGTTTGGCGCCTCCAGCAATGCTCGCTCTGCAAGAAATAAATGAGAGGTGGTAGGAAAGTGCTAATTCCAATCTCCAGCCTCAATGATATGGTCGTCAAGTGTCCTGCTTCCGCAGCTGACAACGGCAAAATAATGGACTCGACATTACAGGCCAAGGAATCCTAATAGCATAAACGTGTTAGTAAAGATGCCTTTTTCCCCTCCGAGTCGTCTCCCCTAAAACACAAAAAAAGGACCAGAGACACTGCCATCGAGGGGGAACCGCACAGGTGTTATGAGCTGGCCGGGGGCCGGTCTGAGATGGGGGACGGGGGAGGGAGGGCACAAAAAAATGGCATTTTCGTGTCGAGGCACCAACGGCCAAGTGAGCAAGCCTGGGTACAGCTAGGTACATCTCAGCTGCACGGAGGTACATCGAGCCACCTATTTGGGGGCGGATGGGCCAGTGATGTTATGCATGGATGGGGACCAGGTCCCGCCTCCCGGG